CAATAACACTTTGATCAGGAAGTACTGTACAATTTCAAGGCACGTATATTTCAGCTGCAAACAACCCTCTGAAGCAGGAAGTACCCATTTCTACCCGCCCCACCTGCACGCCTGTATTTCCCATTGTTCCCTCACACAAACTCCTGCTCTAATTCAGCCAGTTTCCTGTCTCATCCAGGAAAGACAAACCAACTCTAGCCTCCAAGGCCTTCACTCCTGAGGCCCTTAGTGCTGCGGAAGGACCACGGTTTGACCCTGTTCATCCCTCAAGGCCTGGCTTAGGCCCCAGAGGCTATAAGGCACTGAGTGGACATAGCTGGATTCAAATCTCAGCTCTGTAAAGCAATGCAGCTTTGGGAAAATCAATCAGCCTCTCTGGGCATCCATTTCCCAAATGTATAAAAGGGAGATGAACCTGCCCATCACAGGGAGAAATCAATGAGACAGTAATCATAGCTGGGAACTTGGAATCAGCTCAAAAATATCAACCAGCGCCCCTCTGTTTTAACGACTTCTATCCTTATTGTTCTTGGCCTTGTCTGAAGTCCCACAGAGCAAACCGTTCCGTGCTATTTTCCGAAACATATATATGCACCGATGATGTAGAATCCAGGATTGCTTACTGTTGTTTATCTTTTTTGAGGTGGGGATTTTGCTCTGTTGCCCAGGCTGGAGTGCAGCGGTGCAATCATGGCTCACTGCAGCCTCGAACTGTGCTCAAGCAATCCTACCTCAGCCTCCTGAGTAGCTGGGACTACAGGCATGCACCACTGTACCCAGCTGTTTTTCTTGTTCTTATTTCCTTAGATATCCAGTTCCGCCACACAGGTGGGGCTTAGCTCCAGGAAAACATGGTGTTTGTGAGCATGTAGGGATGTACTCACAAAAGGAAATGTCAGAGAATGCTCAGGCCAATGGGCCTTGGGTCTTCCAGTCTCGGGGAAACTATTTGTTGGGGGACATAAAGCATGGAGATAAATCATGAGTGACCCCAAGAAAATTCTAACACTTGGCCCACATGCTGTAAACACTGTCTGCTAATTAAAACTTCAACTTGAACTGAAGATTGGGAAAAGCTTGCTTCCACAGCAAATTTTCATACCTAGTTACCACATAAAAGACAAATTTTCTCAGCAGAAGAAATCTAGTCTATCTAACCAGTTACATATTTGAGTAGACTAAGTAGATTTAGTATATTTGCACAAGATATATTAACTCAGTGCTTGGGTGTTTTTCTTTTTGGAGATGGAATCTCGCTGTGTCACCCCAGCTGGAGTGCAGTGGCACAATCTCGGCTCATTGCAACCTCCACCTCCTGGGTTCAAGCGATTCTTCTGCCTCAGCCTCCCAAGTAGCTGGGATGACAGGCATGTACCATGACGCCCAGCTAATTTTTTTGTATTTTTAGTAGAGACGGGGTTTCACTATATTGGCCAGGCTGGTCTCAAATTCGTGACCTCATGACCCACCCACCTCGGCCTCCCAAAGTGCTGGGATTACAGGTGAGTCACTATGCCCGGCCAGTGCTTGGGTATTTTGACATACAATTAAAAAGTCATATATTAACAGCTAATAAGTGTCCTCTGACTGTCCAATTCCAGATGCCCTGGGAGTTCACTTTTCAAACACTCCACAGAGACACTGAGTCCACACAATGGCTTGAGCAGCCAGGAAGTCCAGAACTCCGGAAGCCTGCTGGCTACTTCCGAGCTTCCCTGCTACACTGCAAAGCACAATGCAAGCAGATTGAAATTCAAGTTAGGCTGGCTTAGGTCTGGTGAATCACCTGCCTTCTGCTGAAGGAATCATGTCCTTTGGAGGGGAAAGTTTCAGGTATGAGCCATATCTTCATGGCACAAGGATTTCATAAAACACACTTGGCTCAGGTGGATCTTGACCCTCACAGCTGCACCTAAGATCTCTCACTTACTTCCCTGGGCCGGGATGGTCAAGCCCACCCAGGACTGTGCCTTCCACAACTTGCGCATTTTAGTGGCCATGTGAAGACACCGCCAGTGCTGATGTGGCCGCAGAGATCTTGGACGAAGGGACCACCACATGGCATGGACTCTGAGATGCACGTTTCCTCACACTGCCACAGCCCTGAAAGGGGATGTGCCTTACAATCTATCATGTGTCATGGTTTCATTGGAAGCAGTTTGTCTAAGACATACGTGAAATAACGGTAATCTTAGCATCGTTGGCATCTGGCCTTCGACGGCTCACAGTGGATACACGTGAGTGAAGTGTGCTGAAAAGGTGACATCTGTTCCTCCATTCTTATTTCTCCATTAACTGCGATATGAAATGAAATCTGCATCCTGATGGAAAACCCCTCACTTGCACCCCCATATGCTGCTTCTTTATGCCTCTGTTTAGTCAACAAATGCTGACGCATCTCATCAGTTATCAAATTCCTATTAGAGATCTGTTCTGGGCCAGGCACTGGGCTAGATGAATGGAAAAATAGTAGTAAATACGCTTCGGTCACACTTAAAATTGTAGCAGGTTCTTCACAATCACACATTTGTAAGGAAGCTATACTTTTCTGACTAAACAACATGAATCAAAACGTAGGCCTTAAAAATACAAACTCAGCCAGGCTCACACTTGTAATTCCAATATTTTGAAAAGCCAAGGCAGGAAGATCACTTCAGGCCAGGAGTTTGAGACCGGCCTAGGCATCAGACTGAGACCTCACCTCTATTAAAAAAAACAGTTTTAATTATCCGTTCTTGGTGATGAACACCTGTAGACCCGACCACTAAAGGGAGGCGGAGGCGGGGAGGATCACCTGAGCCCAGGAGGTTGAGGCTTCAGGGAGACATGATCACGTCACTGCACTCTAGCCTGGGTGACAGAGTAAGACCGGCCATAAACATAACAAAAGCTGAGAAATGATATGGTTAACAACCAAGTTTGTTCGATTGTAAAATAAATAAATAAATAAATGTTTTAAGAGGTAATAAAGGAGAAACATATGTACTTAAAAATACTTGGCTGGGCTCAGTGGCTTACGCCTGTAATCCCAGCACTTTGGGAGGCCAAGGCAGGCGGATCACGAGGTCAAGAGATCGAGACCATCCTAGCCAACATGGTGAAACCCGTCGCTACTAAAAATACAAAAATTAGCCGGACGTGGTGGCGTGCACCTGTAGTCCGTTACTCGGGAGGCTGAGGCAGGAGAATTGTTTGAACCCGGGAGGCGGAGGTTGCAGTGCACTGTGACCGCGCCACTGCATTGCAGCCTGGCGGCGGAGTGAGACTCCATCTCAAAAGGAAAAACAGAAAAAAAAAAAAAAATACTTAAAAGACATTCAAAAATCATGTGGATTTTATATGTGTCTCAGTTTAAGTAAAGAAACCACATGAAAGTTATAACATGTGTGGAACAACTGAAACTCTAACACTGCAGGATAGTCACTGATATGGAGAGAAACTACTTATTTTTTTCAGGTACAATAATGACATCACGGTATTTTTACAGAGCACTTAACTTTTAAATACATATACTGAACTATTATGGAAGAGGTATGGAATTTGCTTCAAACATTATATTAAGCTGAACTATAAAAGACTGTTTTGGAGCCAGGCATGGTGGCTCACGCCTGTAATCCCAGCACTTTAGGAGGCCGAGGCAGGCTAATCACCTGAGGTCAGGAGTTCAAGACCAGCCTGGCCAACATGGTGAAACCTGTCTCTACTAAAAATACAAAAATTAGCTGGGTGTGGGAGTGAGCACCTGTAATCCCAGCTACTCAGCAGGCTGAGGCAGGAGAATTGCTTGAACCGGGGAGGCGGAGGTGGCAGTGAGCCGAGGTCGCACCACTGCACTCCAGCCTGGGCGACAGCGTGAGACTCCAACTCAAAAATATATGTGTATATATAACTACAAAAATACCCTGCCTAAAATATTTATTTTTCCATTACACAAGTAAATATCTCTAAAACTTCAACAGTTTATCTAAGTCTTTCCTCACAATCTACCTTCATGAGTCTAACTTTATATCAGAAGCATATTATTTGGGTTTTTTTTTTATTCCAAAGTAGTGGCTTGTTTTTAAACATTGTGCTGTCTGAATGGTCTGCTTTCTTTTTTTCTTTAACATTTATTCTAAATTATAAATCAGTATAATTAGCCTCTCCTTCAAGTTTGGTTCTGAGTATCCAGGTGACCCTGGGTGCATGTCACTCAACTCTCTCAAGCCGCCATCTCTTCATCTGCAAAAAGAGGCCAGCGAGCCAGACAGTCTCTCTGAGGTTCCTGGGTCTGTGACTGCAGCGTCTGCTCTCTGCTCAGCAAGTGAAGCTTGTCCCCGGTTTTGCGGGGAATATTTGGCTCTTCTCTCCCTATTTAACAAGGGCTGCCTAATCTATCCGCAAAGATCCTTAAGCTGCAGGGAGTTCAGACTACCCAGCCTAGTGAGAAGCTCACACACACGCACATCCCATGGAAAACCCTTGTGGGATATAGAGATAATTCCACAGTGGACAGAAGGCAGCCTTTGAGAGCTGTGCTGATGGAGTCCTGGGGCTGACCACGATTCCCCCACCACAGGGCCCGTGATGAAATGTGTATAAAATACAGTTCATACATTTTATAGAGGCATATAACATTTCACACATAGTAGAGTATATTTAAAAGCCTGAAAATATAGTTAAGAGTACGGGACATAAGCTAGTGTGGAGCTTAGCTCCCACGAAGTGACCGCCGGCAGAGGCTGTGGTGGCCAGATGGAGGCCTCAGCCTGCCGAGCACATTGTGTCCATCTGTGACTTCATTCATAAATTTCCCAGGGAGACGGGATGAGGCGGGGCCCCGTGTACCTATGTCTGCAAGTGGATACATGCCGAAGAGCAAACATGTAAAGCACAGAAGACACGCGGGCAAAGGAAGAAAGATGACACACTCTACAGAGGTCCTGCGACTCATTTTTATAAGGCAGAACATGAGTCATTAATAAGATCCCAGTCCGACTTTCTGAGCCACCCAAGATTACCTTGATGTGCTTAACTCTGTCTTCTTTTTCTGTCTTTGGTTTCTTTCCTGTGGCAAAAAAAAAAAAAAATGTAGTTTTGGATTAATTCATGAAGGACCTCCAGAGAAACCTTTCCCTTAGGTTAAATAATTCTTCCTGAAACTCTCTATGAACCTGTTGTTTTAGTCTGTACATGGTCAAAATTCCACATGCAACTTTTACTAACTTTGGCCACTTGAAAGTTTTGTTTCCAAGCCCGGTAGGGGCGGAATGATCCCCTACAGCATGAACACGCTGTTCTACCTGCAAAGTGACTGCAGATGTAGAAATGAAGAAATCACGAAGGCACGATGATGCACACTGAGTGATCGCTTTTCCGTCTGTAAACACCTTTACCTTTCTTAGAAGGCCGTTCTGAGAGGGGCAGCATTCGGTAGACTCTGAAGGCATTGTTTCCTTTCTTTATGCTTTTGTCCTTAACTTCTTCAATATCAGGCAGGGAGTTCATGGCACATCTGAAATTCGCCTTCCATGTTTTGGGATCAGGTTTATCTACTCCTGGTTGATGCTTTCCTAACAGCATAGACAAAGGTTAAGAAAAAGAGGGAAAACATTAGATACAGAGGAAGAAATTTCTGGAAACACGGTATGGCTGGCCAGGCAGTACAAGGAAACCTTTTCACTCCAGGCTGTATCTCCAGTGACAAATCGTCCTGGTGTGCCTGGGGGTAAGAAGGTTCTTGGGATGTGGGAATTTTGTTTTTAAAACCTGAACAGTTCCAGGCAAACTGCGACAAGCTGGTCACCCTGGTTCTACCACACAGCTTGAGGAAACTATAATGCTGGAAGAACGGAGCATCAATGTAAGAAAGACAGAAGACTGAGAGGCTGCAAAGTCACCAGGCAGAGGGAACCTGAGTGCCTCTTTCCATCCAATGCTCCAACATCCCATACAAGCTCCGTTCCTGTAAATAGCTCCCTACGTAAATGTAATAAATCAATTTCTTTCTGATTGCCTTTAGGGGGGAGATAAACTTGATCAGATCAAGTTTATAGCATCAAACAAACGATGAGTTTATATTCCCCTGGTAACACCTAGAGAACTTCTTAGAGTACCACATTTGTAGGAAATGTAAGGACTAAGATTCTATGTGATGAATGCAACCTCACTTCGGAGAGATGTAATTTGTACCCCAAGTGTCCTGGAAGTGCCTAGGGACACGTCACAGGTTTTTCAGAGCCATCTTCGTGAGGTCATAAGCCGGGATATTTTATGTGTAATAGAAAGAAAACTAAGTGTGAGTGCCCGCCTGTGTACACGTCGCAGGGAGTTTTAGTACCTGTGTGGATTGCCCAGTTTCTAAAGAGGGGTGCATCCTTCTCCACGTCCCACCCATGTCTAGCCGCATGCATCCAGGGGATCTGAAAAATCTTCTTTTCCTGGGGAAAAAAAAAAAAAAGGTAAAGAAGAAGTGTGGCGGGTTTTGGCCCGCCATTGCAAAGGGTTCTGAAGGTCTGGCCAGCAAGATTTCCCACCAAGCATCACTGAATATGACAGGAAGATCTACTGTAAACCAAACCCATTTCCCCACTGGATCCCAAAGCTTGACAGCCTGCCCCGGGTGACAGTCAGTCTCATGAAGTCCTGCAGAGCAGGAATGTTTTCCAAGATCCAAGGTGATGATTTGGGATATGCCAATGTGTTCCGGTATTTCTGCCTCTTTTCTATTTTTTTTAATATGTTTTTGCAGACAGAGTCTTGCTCTGTTGCCCAGGCTGGAGTGCAACGGCGCGATCTCTGCTCACTACAACCTCCATCTCCTGGGTTCAAGGGATTCTCCCACCTCAGCCTACCTTGTAGCTAGGATGCCTGGCATGAACCACCACGCATGGCTAATTTTTGTATTTTTAGTAGAGACGGGGTTTCACTAAATTGGCCAGGCTGGTCTTGAACTCCTGACCTCAACTGATCTGCCTGCCTCGGGCTCCCAAACTGCTGGGATTGCAGGGGTGAGCCACTGCACTCAGCCCTGTTCATCTTTTTTTTATAAAACCACAGAAAAATGGCCATGGACTGAAACTTCTAATGCTTATTCTTATAACATATTCTCATCATTTGGAAAACGGTAACTCCAGTTATTTTAGGAAAAATTAAAAGTCAGGCAACTTTCCAAAATTATACCCCTTTATGCTGCTAAAGAGAAGTCGGGTATATCTGAGGCCGCTGTCACAGAAACCAAGTATCTCCAACAGAAACAGAAAGTAATGTCTGAATCCCTCTGGGTCCACTGTCTCTGCAGGAAGTAGCGAGAAGTGCAAACAAAGAGGCAGAGGTGATGAGACGACACATTTTCCGGAGCAACATCTCTCCGTACAATCCTTACACCAGCCTAGCTCTACATCTCTCTAGCGGCCAGAGGCAACTCAAAACCGCCTCAGGCAACCCTGAAAAACACAGGATTGGCAACCCCTAGTTTAGAAACAAAGCCGTACTCTTAGTGAAGCTGCCAGTGAGGAACCTGGCCCAACCAGCTCTTGTGGTGGGACCGGCAGGTACTAAGGTCACAGTGGCACTGCGCGTTTGACTTCCCATGTCCACATGGACCTCTGTTTTGTTGTCCTCCCACAGCCTACTCAGTGAGGTATATGTTACAACTTCCACTTTATAGCTGAGGAAACCAAGAAACAGACTTAACTATTTAGCCAAGGAACTTACAGGGAAGTGAGTGTCTTAAGTTCAAAACCCAGGTCATGTGACTCCATATACTATTATTTAATCACCCACCCATTGTCTCCCAGCTTTGAGATTTGCAAGATTCCCTGTCCTGTGACAGACCAGTTGAGACCTGGATTCTGTGGAGATTAAAGCCCAGGAGATTGTATTCTTTTAAAGCTCTCAAGGCAGTTCCGGTAATTGCTAGGTATGCGGGTCCCTGCACTACACTCTGAGGAAGGAATGAAATGTCAGGAGGGAGTTTCACCACTTCAGTCTCACATGATGAGTCGCAGAAAGCGTCCCAACTGTCCCCAAAGAGGCTCCGTGCCTTTCCACAGAACCAATCACAAAGCCAGGACTAAGAATATTTCAGAACACTGGAGAGTTTCCCAAAACCTGTTAAAAGGAAAATTCTACCATATTCTAAGAAGTCAGTTATTAAAGGAGAACTGAAAGCAAGAGACGTTTTCATCAGCTCCTCGGTGTTCATTCTGTATCATCCACATTGATTTCAAAAGGACGGTGATCAGAAAGGGGCTGAGTGGCATTTTATGCTTTAACGTAGATGAAAATCAGAGAGCAAAATCACTAAATGCCATTTCTTGATGTTCATGAAAATGAATATAGGTGAAAATTGGTTTCAGTGAAAGAGCTTTTCCTGAAGTGCATGCCCAGAATCTAAAGCTTTATGCTTAAACGCAGAGATTCTTAAGAATTTCCTGTTGTACTTTTTTTCTAGGTCAAAGGAGTTCTAGGGTGACACAATCTGAAGTCTATCTTGCAAGACACAAAACTGATAAAGTGGATCTTTTTAAGCAGCTGCATGCATGTGTGCACACACACACGCGTGCACACACGCACGCACGCACACGTGCACGCGCACATGCACACACACACACCCAGGCGCATACGTGCACGCACACACACGCACACAGGTGCACACACACACGCGCACATGCACATACACACGCATACTCACACGTACATGCACACACATACACCCGTGCACACACACAGGCGCACACATGCACGCACGCACGCACGCACACGCACACACACACACACACACAAACCTAGTCCCAGAGTAACCATGTGAAAGTCATCCAACTACAAAAGCACTGACTGAACCTGGCAATGTCCACTATGCATCCTCTTGAACTGTGTAACCGGCCTGAGTGGGCTGGCATAGCTCGGATGTGTGTCCCCTTGAAATCTCCTATTAAAATGCGATTGCCAGTGTTGGAGGTGGGGCCTGGTGGGCAGTGTCTGGGTCATGGGGCAGGATCCCTCATGAAAGACTTGGTGTCGTTCTCACGGTAATGAGTAAGTTCTCCCTCTGTTAGTTCCTGTGAGAGCTGTTTATTCAAAAGAGCTTCACATCTGCACCCTTCTCTATTCCTCCCTCTCTTGCCAGGCAATGCCCTTTGCCTTCCATCCTGAGGCCTCACCAGAAGCAGATGGCAATGTCATGCTTCTTGTACAGCCTAGAACCCTAAGCCAAAGAAATCTCTTTTCTTTATAAATTACCCAGCCCCAGGTGGTCCTTCACAGCAACACAAAACAGACTGCTCCATAGACCTGTCTCCAAAAAAAGATACACAAATAACAAACGTTGGTGAGGATGTGGAGGAACTGGAATCCTCATAACATTGCTGTGGGAATGTAAAACGGTGCAGCCACTCTGGAGAAAGTGAAACACAGAATTAATTACCTGATGACCGAGTAATTTTACACCTGGATGTATACCCAAAGAATTCTACGCAAACGGCCAGGCGCGGTGGCTCAAGCCTGTAATCCCAGCACTTTGGGAGGCTGAGGCGGGTGGATCACGAGGTCAAGAGATCGAGACCATCCTGGTCAACATGGTGAAACCCCGTCTCTACTAAAACTACAAAAAATTAGCTGGGCATGGTGGCGCGTGCCTGTAGTCCCAGCTACTCAGGAGGCTGAGGCAGGAGAATTGCCTGAACCCAGGAGGCGGAGGTTGCGGTGAGCCGAGATTGTGCCATTGCACTCCAGCCTGGGTAACAAAAGCGAAACTCCGTCTCAAAAAAAAAAAAAAAAAAAGGAATTCTACACAAACATTCAAACCACAACTTAAACACAAAATGTGGTATATCCATACAACGGAATATTATTCAGCCACAAAAAGGAACGGAGTTCTGACACTTGCTACCATGTGGATGAACCTTGAAAACATTATGCTGGGTCAAAGAAGCCAGACACAAAAGGCCAAATATTGAATGATTCTATTTACATGACATATCCAAAAATGGCAAATCCAGAGACAGAGAGCAGATTAGTGTTGCCACAAGCTAGGGGAGAGGGAAATGGGAAGTGACTGCTTACTGGGCTCAGCATTTCCTTTGGGAGGGATAAAAAGTTCTGGAACTGGACAGTGGTGATGCCTGCATGACACTGTGACGGTCACTTTAAAATGGTAAATATTTTTTAAACTACATGTAACTTTTAACTAGTTTTTCATACTGTAGGAAAAAAAAAAGACGAAGAAACTTATCAGAAATATCTTTAAAATCGCATCACAGTTTCTTTTTCTGAAGAAGGCCATATTAAAAGGAAAAAGAAAGTGAGATTCATTTTGAAACGGAAAGAGATTCTGACCAGTAAACACTCTCGTCACAAGTCATGTGTTCCATGGGACAGATGGTGTTGCTGTGTGTCTGTGTGGACCCTGTGATATCAGTATGTGTCAGGTGTCTCATCCCCGAGTGACCAGTCCTGCACACGTGGTGGTGGCACACGCTGTGTGTGGATGGACGCCCTGTGTATGTGCAGAACTCTGCCCATCTGAAGGAAGGCAGGAGAGATGACTGCTGCTTGACTTCAGAAAAGCATGTGAGATTATCTTGAGCAATGCAGAGTAAGGGCTCCTTGGCCCCACATGGAAACTGGTTCTGCTCTCTTCTCTCCCTCTTCTTCCCCCTGACATTTTTCAGATGTTCCAATGAGTGTGCTATTTTTGTTGGGACTCCTTACCCTGGACAGAGATGGCCTGATGTTTACACAAACACAAGGGTACTTTCAACGTGGAAGAAAGGAAAGGTCCGATGATTTCCCTGCCTTAGTGCGTGGATCCAGGACAATCTCCAATAAGAAATAAGAACATCAACAACCCGCCACTGTAGGGGTCAGGAAGAGCTACCAGAGAAACTGGGACCCCGAATGTGGCTGCCTCCTTCCTTCCTCGAGAAATGGCCCAGGGAACCACAAGCAGGCACGTGGACAAACCCAAAAGTAACCTGGTCTCAACAAGTCAATGGCAAGAAGGGAAAAAACAGGGTACTACCCACAGTCTGCAGAGACTTAGAGTCATAAAACCAAACACAATCTGCGGACTGCCTTTGAATTCTGATTTGAACAAATCAACCATAAAAAGGTATTTTGGGAATACTCAAGGCATTTTGAATATGAATGGAGCACTGATTATATTAAACTGTATTAACTGTCCAATTAATAATGATATTGTGGATATATAAGAAAATGTCCTTATGTCTTACAATGTACACTGTCAGGAAGTTGCTTTAAAATACCACAAAGACACACACGTACACACACACACACACACACACACACAAGATAAGGCGAAATATTCATATATTCATACATCTAGATGCATTTGGAAATTTGCCTGCATCTAGATGTATGAATATATGGAAATTTGCTATCCTATTTTTTTTAGTCATTGGGCTACTCAAACATACTATGCACATTTGCAAATACTCATCATCAAGGGAGAATGGCCCCAGCCAAGGCCTCATTCATGAGCTGGTTATAAGGCACTTTTCCAACCTTCCTTGCTGTTCCTTCAGAGGAATCCACGGGACCCCATTCCATTCCCACTCTCCTTCAAACTTATTGAAAGTAGGTGCTCTGGTTTGAATATTTGCCCCTACAAAATTTATACTGAAATTTAATCCCGTGTGCAGTAGTGAGGGTAGGTCCTTTAAGAGGTGATTGAGTCAGGAGGGCCTTGCCCTCACGAATGGATTAATCCAGTTGGGGATTAAGGGATTAACAGGTTGTCATGGGGGTGGGATTATGGCTTTTTAATGGGAAGGGAGACCTTTGCTAGCAAGTGAGCATGCTCATCCCCACACCATGTAATGCCCCACACTCCTTGAGGACTCTGCAGATGCTACCTAACAGCAAGAAGGCCCTGACCAGATGCAGCCCCTCAACCTTGGACTTCTCAGCCTCCATAACCATAAGAAATACATTCTTTTCCTTTATAAATTATCTAGAGTCAGGTATTCTGTTATAAGCAGCAGAGAACACACTAACAACGGGGGATAGAAACAAATTTAAGACATTAATTAACCAACTCTTTCTCTCTAAGAGTGTAGTAGGTTGAATGGACTTTCTGAGAGCCATGTGGCAACTGCCAACCCGGTGCTCATAAATCTGATTATCCTAACAGAACAAAAGCACAGCCACCAATGTTGCTCTCCTTCAAGTCCACGGCATTCATTCATGTATCCCCAGAACAACTTTTACAGAGTGCGCCCCACTTACCAGGCACTAGGCCTGGCCCTGCACATGCAGTGATGAGGAAGACAGCCAAGGCACCAGTGCATGGGGCTCCCAGCCTGGAGCATGTCTCAATAAACATGAACACACCCTGAACGCTGACTGAAGCAGAAGTGAGTCTCACAGCCCTGTGAACAGTTTCTTCTAAGAGTTACGGCAGCCTTCAGTGGCAAAAGGGGTCTTGGAATGACCTCAAACCTCTCAAGATATAAACAGGGATTCCCAGGCAGAATGCTTGTGAATGGGAGAGAGCAGTGGGTGCTCGGTTAAGTATTTATACGGACAGATGAAGGCCGACACGCCTAAGTTAGCAGAAACCTATAATAAGATGCCCTGTGGGAGTGCAGGTATGGAGAGAAGGGATCCTGATGCCAGCCAAGGCCTGCAGTGACAGTGATGGCAGTGCCCACGTGCACAAGCCATGCCACGTGCCCACTCTGGCTAGGCCTCAGTAGGATGCAGCTTGACAGGGCCTCGAGACCACAGTGCAGGCCTTGGTCTCTGTGCCAGGGCGGTGCTGAGAGGCGGCACTGGCTGGCAGCCATGAGTGTGCTCTTCTTCAGCCTGGCTCGTGTCCAGCTCAGGCGGAGGAGCCCAGTGACATGACACAGAGGTCTCCTTTCCCTCCGTGCCTCGGGATGAGAGCTCTCGAGCCAAGAGCCAGATGAGTGATGCTCAGCAGGTAAGGGCTGCCTGGAAGGGGCCAAGTGTTCATCTGCATCAAGAAAAATCCATTTGCCTCTGGTCCTATCTCAGAAAAACACGGACACAACAGAGGGAAGAAAACGCATCTCAGCAGAGAGTCCCCGTAACGAAGTGAGCCTCAGAGGGTGCATCGATCTCCCAAGACTGTCGTGAAAAATGGTACAAACTGGGTGGCTCACAGCAACAGAAATGCATTCCATCCCAGTCCTGGAGGTCGGAAGTCCAAAATCAAGGTGTCCGCAGGGCTCATGCCTTTTGAAGGCTCTGGGAAGGATCCTTCCTCGTCTTTTCGGAGTCCCTGGCTGTGGCTGCCTCTCTCCCGTCTCTGCCTCAGTCCGCACACGCCCCTGTCTCCTCTTCTGTCTCTCATAAAGGCGCTCCTCACTGGAGTTAAGGCTCACCCTGAATGATCCCATCTCAAGGACCTTCACTACATCTGCAAAAACCCTTTATCCAAATGAGGTGACATCCGCAGGTTCTGAGGGTTAGGATGTGGATCTGGCTTCTGGAGGGGCCACAGCTCCATCTACCACAGCGCCGAGAAGGGACTCATGATTAGTCTAAACCAATCCCGGCGGACAGCGTGTCAGACGCCTGCTGAACACGGGCGGTGCGAGACATTGCCTGTTCTCCACTGCATCAAGCCAGCCCAAACCCGTGGAGGTGTTTTTAAAAAAGAAAAGCGAAAACAGACAGCTTACTTCTCTTCAGAACGTAGGGGCATTTGCTTTCCTCTCCCTCCCACATCAAACAGTAATGCTACCTTGTTCCTCAAAATGGAATCCTACTTAACCTCTCTGTGCCTCAGTTTCCTTGTCTGGAAAATGGAAAATATTAACAGTACCTACCCCATAGTGGCGAAGCGTGAGTTAATGCACCTACCTTACTTAGGGGAGAACCTGCATGCAGTACGTGCTGAGTACACGTCGCTTTCATTCAGTATCATTTGCTATCCTGGCTCTCCAGCTGCCCTTCACTCTGGTACCCCCTTCCTTAAACCTCCGTGGCACCCTTGCTAACTGAGCTGACCAAGGAGCAACTCCATTTCTGGTCTGTTTCTTTGGAAGAAGCTGGTTACAGATGTAAATCTACAACACTATAGACAGAAAACCCTAGAAAAATACATTGTTTATGGTAAGACCTTGAGATATGCAACAGGTCACAGGAAATAAGCAGATGGCTTCTTCATTTCTGTTGACTTAGCACCCCGCCTTGTTTCAGAAAGGCTCAGACAGACATATTCAACACAGTAACATGAAATTCCAAATCGGGCTGGGCGCTGTAGCTCACGCCTTTAATCCCAGCACTTTGGGAGGCCAAGCCAGAGTAGATCACTTGAGTCTTGGAGTTCCAGACCAGTCTGGGTAACATAGTGAATCCCCGTCTCTACAAAAAATATAAAAATCATCTAGGAGCGTGCTTGTGGTCCCAGCTACTTGGGAGGCAAAGGTGGGAGGAACGCATGAGCCTGGAGCCAGAGGTTACAGTGAGCTGAGATCACGCCACTGCACTCCAGCCTGGGTGACAGAGGGAGACCTTGTCTCAAAA